TTGAATGTCACAGTTACTGATTCTTCTTTTAGGCTTTCGACTATATCACGTATTTCTTGCAATCTATTTTTTACTAATATGCCGGCGTTAGTGCTTCTTGGATGGCATGAGAGCCAACTGAGTGCAATTTGAGAGTCACAAAAGATGTAAATATTCCATGGATAATTGGAAATTTTTGATTTCAAAGCATTTGTGATGGATTTAGCAAGGCGCATTGCTAGCGTGAGTGCGTTCATTTCTAGTTTAGGCATAGTTGTTTTGGATTTGATTGATGGAAGTTTACTTTTTGCCATTGCTAGAGTTGATGATTTTTCTTTGAAAACATAAGCGCATGTTGCGATTGCATTCGTACTTGCATCTGCAAAAACTGCTAAGTCCATTGTTTTGCCGTCATCAAAAAGGCGTCTCGGAGCAATTTTTTCGAAGCCGTCTATATTTTCGACCATTCTGTTCCATGTTTCTCTGTAGTCTGAAGGTAATGCTGAATCCCAAGCAAAGTTATGCCTCCAAAGTTCTTGCTGAAATATTTTTGGTAGAATCATGAGTGGCACCATCCAACCTAATGGGTCATATACTGATGCTATTTGTCGCGCGATTAATCGTTTCGTTGCATTTTCCAGCTTATGGAGGTTACAGCGCATACTGATGCGATCTATCTCTGCATTCCATTCAATACCTAACACTTTCTGGATTTTTGAGGTAGCACGAGCGTTTTGGGGTAAATTTTGGTGTAATGTTGCATTATTGGAAAGAAATTGTCGTAAGTTCATGCCCATTTCATTGAAGATTTCTCTTGAATCTTGTGCTTTGTTGACACTTTCTTCAGCTGAATCAGCTGCAAGTATGAGATTGTCAACGTAAATGTTGTCTTTTATCTCGTTAGCTAATGTTCGATTTTGGACCGTTTCTAAATGATAACGAATTGTCCCGTATAAAAGGAAGGGAGAAACATTCAGTCCAAACGTCACACGAGTGAATCTGAATATCTGTATGTTACCGTTATCCGGTGGTGCATTGATGTCTTTTACCCAAAAAAATCTAGTCACGTCTCTATCCAATTCATGTACACGGACTTGAAGAAACGCCTTTTCAACGTCAGAAATTAGAGCGAACGGTGGTACGCGGAAACGTAGAAGAAGTGCGTATACTTCTGGCACCACAATTGGTCCTTGATGAAGTACGTCGTTGAGTGATGGACTATCTTTGAAATGTGCCGATGCATCAAATACTATTCGAAGCTTAGTTGTTTCTTTTTGTGGTGTGAATACGGGTTGGTGAGGTATATAGTGTACAAGTCTTCCGTCATTTGATTCTTCTTCAACTTCTTCTATAATGCCTTTTTCTTGTTGTGAACGAAAGGTGGCATCATATTCCTGAAGTAATTTTGGATTTTTTCTTAGCATCAGTAATACTGATTGCAAGCGTTTGAATGCAATTGCTTTGTTGGAGGGAAGTTTAAGATAGTCGTCCTTGTAAGGAAATCGTATGTAGTAACCATCTTGACGTTTTTCTATAGTTTCCATGAAATATTTGGCAACACTTTCGTTGATTGCCTGTTTTTCGGCGTTTTTCGTTCCTGTGAATTCACATATACCGGCGGAATCCATGGTCCAGTATTTGTCCCATCTATCTAGGTCTTCGTCGAAATTACTAAAGGAATTGATAGAAATTGTTCCGCAGTCATTTCTTTCTGTGGTCTTCTTTGGTAGTGAGTCTTGCTTTCCTGTGATCAGATATCCTAATCTTGAGGGAATGAGTTTCAATCCGGAAGGTAATGTATATTGAGGTGATGGTACATCCAAGAAATTCCAGAGTTGATCGCATCCAAGAAGAATAAGGGGTTTTGAGTGAAGCAGGCATTTGTCAGTTGAAAGGTGTATATCATTATGTGATAAGAATTCTAAGTCCTCATTACTAAGAGCAGCCGTTTTGATTTTTTCAGCTATCACTGGGGTTGTGTATA